CTGGCTGCCAACAGTTGAGACTAGAGGTGGCAAATGGATTGGATCCATGGATTGGTGGATTCATGGATTGGATCAAGTGGATTGGTGGATTATCCACGAATCTAAATGACATCCTCAACCTTGGACCAATATGTAAAATATGAAAAGTTTAGGTACTAAAATGTGATAATAAAAAAGTTTAGATACCAAAGCGTAATTTTCTAATGATATTTTTCGTATAAAAAATTAAATTTTGGGTACCAAAATGTAAAATATAAAACTTATAGGTACCAAATCGTAATTTGTCATTTGAATTATCTATAAATTCACCAATCCAATTGGATTTGGATGAAATGGATTGAATTTAAATGGATTGAATTAGGTGGATATTTTTAATAGATTGATGGATTGGATTGGTAGATTGGATTGAGAATTGCCACCCTGATTGAGAGGCAGCCATAGCCCAAATTGAATATACATGCGTACGTGCAGCAAGAAAAAAAAAATAGACATAACTTAATTAGATGCATTGCAGAGAAGGGAACTATTTGTCAAATTTCATTCATGAAAAGGACATATATGAAAACTATGTGTTGAAACGATTTAAGAATTGATCATCTTTTCACTATTGAATAATGTTAACAAGGGACGTTGCGCCATCTGGTTCCTCGTTAAGATTGTTCAAAGTGGTAACGGTTGGGCAAGAAAAAGGTCAAAGAAGGGCACAAATCTATGGAGGACCCAAATAGCAAGATTTATATTCATAGTGGCAGGCAGGTCCTTCAGCTACTATAGAACCTGGTGGAGTGGAGTATGAACAAGACAGTCTCCAAAAAGCGCAAATATGCTTAGCTCCATCTCCATAACATAGGAATTGAGCAGCCAATACTGAAGGTTCATCCAAAAAACTTGTCATCCACACGCGCACAAAAAAAAAAAAAAAAAAAAAAAAAACAACAACAACAACTGTAATCAAGAGTTTAAGACATCAGTTCTATATGATTTTTTTTTATCACAAAATACCAAGGTTGAAATAGATGTTGAAAAAGGATGGTGTTGGTGTTTTGTTTAGCACCTAAGCGATTATAGGCAGTGACAGATCCAGAAATTTTACGTAGGGGTGTCCTCTTTAAAAAATTAAATTAAATTTTACGTAGGACGTGTTTCGTAAAATGGTAAAATGCATTCGGTGTTAATACTGCTCAACAAATATCTCTCGACATATCCTACTAGACAAGGGTATCCCGTAATTGAGTTTAATAGTTAGGTTTTGAAAATAATTTGAGATAAGAATAACATTTTACTATTATATTTGGATCTAAAACACAATAACAAATGAGTTGCAGCGTAATTGAACATATATTAACTAATAATGGCAGTGTCCCAAGTTTGAACAACATAAACTACTACATTAATATTAGGGTAAATATAATTTAATATCTAAACCTTTCATTTTAAACAATATAATAGCCAAACTTTTTCGAAAACAATCTAATATCCAAATCGTCAACTTTCCGTTCGTTTAACCGTTAGTTGACACTTCAAAAAAGTTCGAAGTACGACGCTTCATCAATATCCATCGATATCTTCTCTAATAAACCACCAACATATCGTGGTTCCAAACCCGAGAAGTCCATGACTCCACCATGATGGTATAGAATATCTAAATATTCAGTCATCTACAATGCCAAAACAAGAAAACAAAGTTTTATTGTGACAATTTCCCCTAAACAAAGCTTTTTTGAAGTGTCAACCAACGGTCAAATGGACGGAAAGTTGACGATTTGGATATTAGATTGTTTTCGAAAAGGTTTGGCTATTATATTATTTAAAATAAAAGGTTTGGATATTAAATTGTATTTACCCTTAATATTATTTGTACTAATACGCAAACTACTACAAGAGGTTGGATGATCATTTTCCCAAAATTTAAAGGTGTCCCACTACCACTTAAACATTTTTTTCTCATACGCAAACTACTATCGTAGGTTGAATAATCGTGTTTCCAAATTCGGGACACCCCTAAACATGCATGTATCCGGTACCTGCCTATAGGCGCTGAATGTAAAAATAGCAATTTTTTATTAAATGATGAATGAAACAACCATTTAAAAAACAGTTCCTCACTTAAACTCAAATGGTTAATTACATAATGCTTAACAAAAAAAAAATGCTTACAAGTTCATAGAATCACAGCTCAATACCTTACAAAGTTATCGAGATATTGAAAATTTTGAGTTAGAAGATTGGTATCGTAGACGATGTTAATTCCCTCCTTTAATATATTGACTTTCTAATTTCATATAATTATACATAGTTAGGTGATACCAATTACTAGGTGTCGCCTTATTCCGTCGACGTATTCTCTGTAACTAACTTGATGTATGGAATCCCTAGACAAAGTATTTTAACACGTCAACGTGCACAGGCGCAAGATTAAACGCAACTTTTCAAACTACGGAAAATACACACTAATTAATAATCATAGTAGAATGTGAAGGAAAATCAAAGTGAGCAGTCCAGTTTTGATTAGATTTTGTTGTTTGTTTGTTTGTATTATCAGCAGCACAACACAGGCCTAGGACTGCAAATGAGTCGAGTCGTGTCAAGTTTTACCCCAACTTGAGCTCGGCTCGTTAATAAACGAGTCGAGCTCGAGCTCAGCTTGTTTATTAACGAGTCGAGTGGAGCTGAGCTAGCTTGTTTATTAAAATCTTAAATTTTATTTGGTACTTCATTTTGTATATCATGATACAAATGATTTATTTTGTTAGCAAATCTCATATTATACTTTGTTGGTATCATATTCATTCAGTTAATAAATTTTAACCGCTCCAAATCATGTTATTTCATAGTATCGAAACAATCTATGATGCATAATTTCTTTTTAAAGGAGAAAATAAGATATATTTGCTCACAAACTCAACGTGTTAAACTTTATATATGGTGAGATATATAATTTAATAACCATATGAATTATAATCATAAGATATAGATTGATTCATCCATAAGTTGGTAATCGAGTTGGCTCTCTAGCCACATGTTAAGACATATCATGAGCTCTAAACGAGTCAGCTCACAAGTTTAGCTCAACAAGCCACTGAGTCGAGCTAGCTTGCGAGCTTCACGAGCTGAACAAAGGTGAGCTCGTGTTCGACTCGTTTATTAACGAGTCGAGTTTCGAACGAACTTTTCTCGAGTCGAACGCCGAGCCGCTCGCGAGCAACTCGGCTCATTTGCAGCCCTAAGCACAGCACACACAGACAGTGGTGGACCTAGTAAAGGGCAGTGTGTGTCGTCCGACACACCCTCGCCCGAAAATTTTGTGAAGTACCTATATATTTTTGGTACAAATTTTTTTAATTCGGGACTTCCGACACACCTTAAATAATTGTGAGCGACACACCTTCATTATACGAGAATGATTTTCTTGTTATAAAGTTATTTATCTTAATGAGTAATACACAATAATAAGTAAATTCAAATAAGTATGCTTGTTTTAGAGTAACCAACACCACAACCTAGAGATGACAATAGAGCGGGTTTGCCTAAACCAACCTCATCCCCATTTCCAAATATTCAAACTCATACCCGTCTCATACCCATGCAGTGAAAGGTCTTACAAACTCATCCCCATACCTGTGGTTTTCTGATACCCATGGGTAATACCGCCCCGACAACTACTCACCATTAATAATAGAATATGGTGACAAATATGGATACTACCCACCCAAAATTATGGAACTAATACATAAGAGGATGAAATTAAGGTTTGGTTGCCATCAATTACATTTTAACACTTTATTTTTTCTTTTAATTACTCTTCATTCGATTGACAAGTTACCATACACTCCTTATATTTTATGTATATAACATAATATCCTTGGTAGGGCGGGTTTGGGTTGGGTATGGGGCTAGAGAGTTAAAAACAATACCCGCCCCATACCCATCAACCTTTTTGGGGGGTTTTATCCATACTCGCCCCATACCCAGTCAATACCCGCGACCATGGGTTTGGTTGTCATCCCTACCACAACCCAACAATGGAAAAAATAAATATAACCCCATCCTTTGAAACTCACCGTTTCCACCCCTTGACCCTTCCTTTATTGAAAATAAAAAAAACTCACCCTTACCCCGTTTTAGTTTTTAATTATCGAGAGCCACTACCACATCTCCCTTTTCTTTTACCCTTTAGTTTTACTTGCTTTTGGAAGTTGGTATTGACTTTACCTGTTGCAATTGAAAGCTGCGAAAGATTTCAGCTATGAAGATAATCAAGAATGCACTTCGAAATTGGTTGAGTGACGAATTTAATGAATCATTGTTTAGTTGTGTATATCGAAAAGGATTTGCTTCGCAACATAAGCAATGAATGTATTTACAGACATTTCTAGTAAACATGACATTGTGAACTTTATGAATTAATTTCTAGTAATTTCTATTTAATTTCTATTAAATTTTTACTAATTTTTTAATTAATTTTGTTAATTATTATATTATTTTATCGACGACACACCTCTCCAGTAATTCTGGGTCCGCCACTGCACACAGAGTGATGAAATTTACTCTTACGTACGTCCGTGTGGTCAATGGAATAAGATAGCTCACGTGTGAAGGAAGGACTGGCTGTGGGTGGCCTCAATTTTCACCCCTAACGGCGGTCTGGTCTGGTCTGAGATGGATATGAATGAGCAACGTACGTATTGTATCTCGTCCGTCCGTCCGTCCGTCCACCCTCATCGTAGCTTAGCTGTTTGGCGAGGAGATGGGAGGAAAAACACAGGACAGGGGTTTTGATTTTCTGTCGCATTGCGACCTATAGCCTACTGCCTACGATGCCTAGCTACTAGCCCTGTCTGTCCATTTCTAAACCAGGCCCCTCCTCTCAAATCTTTTTATTTATTTATTTTATTATTAATTCTGAACTTCTTATCAACCTTCTATTATACTTTTTTTTATCATAGTATTTGCTCAAACAGAGTAACATCTCAAAACCCAAAAAAGAAGGATCCACCAGCCCAGTCCCCTCCTCCGCTCTTTCCTCCATCACTACTTGTTCTTTCCCTCTCATCTCCTTCCTCGTTGCCTTCTTCACTTGCTTTACTTTATCATAACCTAGCTTGCCCTTCTCTCCTCTCCCCGAAAACCTGGAAATCCTGTGAATAGTTGCGCGGCGATTCATTTCCTCATTCCACGGCCGCCCCGGGACCCTTCACCATCAACAGTACTACTACTACTACTTCTTCAAACTCTACCTCATCCTAAGCTAGCTAGGCTATGAAGAAAATTTACTACTACTTTTTTTCCCCCTCCCTCCAACTTTCTTCTTCTCCTCCTAAGTTGAAACCCTGTTCCTAATTCGTACACAACTTCTGAAACTTAACCATCAATGCTTCCTTTCCTTCTTTCTGGTATGGTACCAATTATTATTATATCTCCTTAACTCCTCTCCTCTCCTCTCTTCATTTCATCAATGGACTCCCTCGCTCACCACCACCACCACCACTCTCCATCCGACATGGACGCCTCCTCCTCCTCCTCAGCCAACCACCGTATGGGAATCATATTCAACGCCATAACCCACCACCAACAACCTGCACCACCAATCACCACCACCGCCCCGACGTCTCCACCGGCGGGAGTACAGCTGAGCAGGTACGAGAACCAGAAGAGGAGGGACTGGAACACGTTCGGGCAGTACCTCCGGAACCACCGCCCCCCGCTCTCCCTCCCCCGCTGCAGCGGCGCCCACGTCCTGGAGTTCCTCCGCTACCTCGACCAGTTCGGGAAGACCAAAGTCCACACCCCTATCTGCCCCTTCTACGGCCACCCCACCCCGCCGGCGCCCTGCCCCTGCCCTCTCCGCCAGGCATGGGGATCCCTCGACGCCCTCATCGGCCGCCTCCGCGCCGCCTTTGAGGAGAACGGCGGCAAGCCCGAGTCCAACCCCTTCGGTGCCCGCGCCGTCAGGCTCTACCTCAGGGAGGTCCGCGACCACCAGTCCAAAGCCAGAGGCGTCAGCTACGAGAAGAAGAAGCGCAAGCGTCCCCCGCAACAACAGCACCCGCATTTGCCGCCGCAACTTCCGCCGCCGCCGCAGCACCACCACCACGGGAACGTTATTCATGTGATGCAAACGTATCCTTCTGCTCATCATCCACCTGGTGCAACTTAGTTCAGAATGGTTTGTTACCACCGCTAATAATGTTGGTAATAATAATAAAAATAATTGTACTGTTTGAGAGATCGAAAGATTGATTCTCTGGGAAGGAAGTGGGAGGAGCTGCTGATCTTGGTGGTGTGTATTAATTAATCTCTCAGTGTAGTCGCATGCTGATTAGGGTTTCCAGTCTGCTGTTTATTATTTACATTTTTTTTTTTTTTTGTTTGGCTGTAATCGTTTTGATACAAGCAGAGCAGTGTAATCGTTGGTGGTATTCACTTACCGCTACGACTGCGTAGTACTACTAGAAACCAGGGCAAAAGTCGAGTAGGTAGCTCTAAAACCCGAAATCTATCTGCTCTATCTATGATTACGTTAGTTAATGTGTATACTAATATCCTTTTTCCTGAATTAACTAATTATGATCAAGTTTGTTTATATATCATATGGTTTAGATTTGGGAAAACGTTTCCTAGAGTTCCCCTTCATGTCTCCTGTCTCGTCCTCTGGAATTACAGTTTTCATTGTGGTTCTCCCTCCCTCTGTTTGTATGCTGTCTAACGCGCATATTAATTACTATTTATTTGTACTTCCTTGGCTTGTCTAAGACTGTTGAAAGGAAGGCAGTAAAAATCTTTTTTTTATTCATCTTCATGTTTCTGGGTTTGATTGTTTTTACCGTGCGTGGAGGCATGGTAGTGAGGGAAAGCGTTAGAAGAGGGAGGGTTGAAAGACATTACATAATAATAATGAGTGTTCGTGATGTGATCTATGTATGTCAGATATACACTGTTCTGCTAGCAGTAGTAGATGCCCCCAATTCTCCACTATGCCCAGTTTTGTGTTTGTCGCAACTGTAAATGCTAATTCATTGGTTTGTCAATCCTTCTTGTTATGCAACTACTGCATGATGATATGTATATATACTTTCTGCAGCTATATGTATAATACAAATTAGTTTCCTAATTAGGTTTCAAGTTTTGCCAACGCAATTAAACCTTGTGCTTACTGCTCTCTTAATTCCTTCCCTCCTCCTTCTCTAATTCTACACGGTCTTCTTCCATCTTACTTATGGAATTATGAATGGGTGAAGGGAAGGGTAGAGGGGTGTCTTGTCAAAACATACATATTTATGGGATTGAAGATTGGTATCTGTTTTTGGGCGGTGGTGTCATTTCATTGTTTCATTCATGAAAATTAAAACTGGCCGACAGTGTCGTTAATGTGCATATCAATCAAAATTATTATATGCTAAATTTGAGTGATGCAATTTGACTAGTGCCTGCCGAATAGATCCCATCGATCCATCATCAATACATTTTTTTTAGTCACTGTTTTTTCCTCTTCTCATTCTGGTGTAGTAAATTATTATGCCTATTATTATTATTATGTAATATGTATGTTGAACATCACGTGAAAAGGGTAAAAAAGCATCCTCTGCGGATTGCCCTTAGTAGTCTGTATCATAGATTATTAAGTCTCAGTTGGTTGGTTGCAGAAAGCGAGAGAGGAGGAGGTGACTGAACATCAAACTAAACATTTTGTATAGAATCAGCACATGTGAAATGACAGAAGCAGGTACCAGATAATTAAAATGGGGGAAAAGGTGAAGCAGTAATATATTACTTACTGCTGCTGTGCTGGGTACATGGACGTGTGATGGATTATAGCTAAAAATTGTTTTGTATATTAAGAAACTGAATCGCTATTTATCACCCTAAAATTTAAATTTTATCGACCTAAAATACTGGGGTCGTTTGGATGGATCAATTGTAAAACGAGACAATTTGACCAATTGTTTCATTTTACAAAACGTATCATTTAAAACTAGTCAATTCAGATTACCTGCCCCTCACCCCAGACAATTGTAATTGACTCAAAATGAGTCAATTCAGAATTCCCCAGCCCAAATTGCTTCATCCAAATTTTCTGCTGGCAAACGGATCAATCTAGCACAATTGACTCAAAACGAGACAATTGTGTCAGATTGATTCATTAGAATTCCTCATCCTAACCACCCCTAAATTGACACATTTATCCCTTACACTAATTTCATTTCAGCACTCTGTGTAGCTGCCACATACATCATCATCACCCACCTAGCATCCGTGGACCTGGTCAGTAGTAACTAACTAATTTACCACTTACCACCCTGTCTCTCACTTTCACCAATCTTGCCGAAAAGACCATTATCTCCTCTCTGATCCCCTGCTTTGGAGTTGGCGCTAGGACTAGTTTCCACGGCCACCGCGGCTGCCGGCAGCATGGCCTACGTCGGCCTGAAGGGCAAGATCCCACCGTCCAGAACGACAGCTGCCTAGCTATTAGCCTGATTGAAGTCATTAGCGTGTGTTTGAGTTGCTTCTGCTGTTGTAATTGGCGTGTGGTTAAGTTTTAAAAGGAAGGTAGTTGGGGCTGATGAATTATAATCTGATGGGTTCTGCAATCCTTGTCTGGAATGTGCGTGGTCTTGGTGATTCTTCTAAAAGAAGCCGTATTCACCGTTTCATCAGGCGTAAGAATCCTAATATTGTGGGACTGGTGGAAACTAAATGGGATCAAAGTGTGGAGAGTACGATTAGAAGTTTTTGTGGAAGGAGGAATATTGGTTGGATCTCTAAGGCTGCGGAGGGAAGTTCTGGCGGTATTCTGATATACTGGGACGATTCTATGTTTCATCTTCGGTCTGAGAAAGTGGGTAAATTCTTCCTTGGGGCTGAATTCTTGGAGGTTTCTTCATCTAAAATCTGGCACCTTATTATTGTGTATGGACCTCAAGAGCGGAGCGAGAAACTTGTCTTTTTGGAGGAGCTTCATTCTTTCTGTCAAGAGGTGAGGGATCCTTTCTGTATTGCTGGTGATTTCAACTTGGTTAGGATTCACGACGATTACGTGGGTTCGCGTCGCAGCAGCGAGCTTATGGCTGAATTTAATGGTTTTATCGAGGGTAACGCGCTTATTGATCTTCCTCTGAGAGGCAGCAGGTTCACCAGAAGCGGGGGGTTTGGATCAGGTTCTCTATCTCGCATTGATCGTGCTCTGATTTCTGAAGGGTTTGATTCCTTTTATCCGGACTGCTCGCTGTCGGCCTTGGAAAGGATTGATTCTGATCACAATCCTTTGCTCTTGAAATGGGGTGATGATGTCCGTATTAAGAGACCATGGCGCTTTGAAGTTATGTGGCTCGAGGACGAAGGGTTTTTCAGGGATTTGCCGTCTTGGATTGGGGGCTCCATTCAGGGCCGAGGTTCTGTTTTCCGATGGGCTAAAAGTCTGCAAGAGTTGAAAGCTAAGTTGAAAGTTTGGAACAGGGAAGTGTTTGGGAACATCAATGTTAAGATTGACGATCTCCTGTGTAAGATCAAGGAGCTGGATGCTAGGGAGGAAACAGACTCTATCTCTTCGGCGGATCTGGATCTTAGAATCACTATACAAGCTGATCTGGAGAAGCTGCTTACCCTACAAGAAATCAGTTGGAGGCAGAAATCTCGTGAATTGTGGTTAAAAACTAGGGAACGCAATTCTGGATACTTCCACAGAGCAGCAAGTTATCGTAGAAAGCTTAATTTCATCAATCTCATAAAGATCAATGGATGTCTTGTTGAAGGAAGTGATGAGCTGGCTCATGCGGTGGTTGGGCATTACCAAAATTTATACATTGAACAGTTAACTTCCCGTCCTTTTCCTCAGAACTATGGATCGTCTCTTCTTTCTGCGCGGGAGGCGGACAGCCTTATTCTCCCTTTCTCCGAAATGGAAATTGTGGATGCACTTAAGGACTGTGATGGTGGGAAAGCCCCGGGCCCTGATGGAGTTCCGTTCGAATTTTATAAGAGGTGTTGGGACTATATCAAGTCTGATGTTTTGGATGCTTTCAAAGAGTTCCATAATTCGGGCTATCTTCCAAAGTGTGCTGCCCATTCCTTCATATGCCTGACCCCTAAGAAAGATGTTGTGGAAGAAATCGGAGATCTTCGTCCAATTAGCCTCCTTGGCAACATTAATAAGCTGTTCAGCAAGGTACTGTCTCGAAGATTAAGCACTGTTCTGCCCAAGTTGGTTTCTCATAATCAACATGCCTCTGTCCGGGGAAGGCAGATCTCGGAGGCTGGTTTAATCGCCAATGAACTTGTAGACAGCCGTATCACGAGCAGAAAACCTGGGCTCCTGTTTAAACTCGACATTGAAAAAGCCTTCGACAATGTCAATTGGGGGTGTCTATTCAAAGTTCTTAACAAGTTGGGCTTCCCTCCTAAATGGCTGTGCTGGATCCGAGGGGTTATGTGTTCGCCAATATATTCTGTTCTCTTAAACGGTGAAGTGAAAGGTTTCTTCCCTGCTTTTAAAGGCCTTAGGCAGGGTGATCCGCTCTCGCCTGGTTTGTTTGTTCTCATTATGGATATCCTTTCATTTATGATTAGTAAGCTACAGGAAGCGGGTTTGATTCGGGGTTTCTGTATTGATGAAGAGCATGGACATGGGGAAGTGTCTCATCTCCTCTTCGCTGATGACGCGCTTATCTTCTGCGATGCCTCTCATGACCAAGTCCTGCACATTCTGGCTACTCTGGTTTGTTTTCAGGCGGTTTCTGGCCTCAAAATTAATCTGGATAAATCTATGATGTTTACTGTGGGTGATGTGTCAGAACCGAGCTTCTTTGCTGATTTATTTGGCTGTAAGTGGAGCCGTGATCCATCGAAGTATTTGGGGTTTCCTCTTGGAGCCAAGCCCAATGCTCCGGAGATTTGGGACCCTATTGAATCTAAGTATCAGAAGCGTCTCCAAGGGTGGAAAGGGAGGCTCCTGTCCTATGGTGCGAGACTAGTTCTTATCAATTCTATTCTATCCAGTCAGCATGTGCACTTTTTCTCACTTCTTAGAGCTCCAAAGAAGACTATTAATAGACTCGAGAAGATGCAGAGATGGTTTCTGTGGAATGGTACAGGAGAAAAGGGAAAGGTTCCCCTGATCAAGTGGGATGTGTGCAAAACTCCCAAGGAGCATGGGGGTCTCGGAATTATTGACCTTGCAAGTTTTAACAGTGCCCTCCTGTCAAAATGGCATTGGAAATTCGCAGTTGATAGAGGTGGTTGGTGGAGGAACTTGATTTCTATTAAATACCCTAATAACTCCTCTTCTTGGTATCCTGGGCGTTTGCGGGGAAGACTTTCGAGTTCGGTGTGGGTGAATATTATGAAAGAGTTTGATGTTTTCTGGAAGCATGCTTGCATCGATCCTGGGAGTGGTAATGATGTTTCTTTTTGGCATGACTTTTGGATCCCCAACCTCGCCCTTGCTCCGGCCTTTCCCCGTGTTGCTGCTGCATCAAATCCTGCTGCTCGGACCGCGGACAATTTCTACGTTTCAGGTGATAGGGTTGGGTGGAATGTTGAGATTAATTTTTCTTTGAGGGGGGGGGGGGGGGGGGG